ATCAATATGCTGATAAAATCTGTGCTACCCATCTGATGTCAATATCTACGGCTAGCATGAGAAAAAAACAAAAACTGTGACTATTGTTTGTAGTGACATTAGGATATGGCGGGTTTTACAAGCAAAAAACAAAGCACAGGTTTGGTAAATGGCACTCAGCTGACATTTTCATTGAGTGAACCACTGAAGATATTGTGTAGTGGTTCTTCAAATAATAATAATAATGACAATAAGGATCATAAAAATAGTAATACTGATAATAATAAAACAAAAATTATAAAAATGTAATAAAAATAAATAACAATACTAATAAAATTATAATAGTAATAATAAAAAATAATAAAATAAAAAATAATAAAAAATGAAATGAAATAAAAAGAAAGATATTTGTATTTAAAAATAATAATATTAATAAAAATAAAAAGATGAAAATAATGAATAAACAAGAAATAATGATAAAATAATAAGAATGATAAGAATGATCATAAAATAATAATAATAATGATAATAAAATAAAAAAATAATAATATTGAAAAATAAAATAATAATAAAATTAAATGATAATAATAATAATAATAAAACAAGACGATTAAAGAAATACAAAAGTATGCTCACAAGTACAGCTCACATATTACGAAGTGCTCTATCTATGTAAAATGTGTGTGATCTTAGTTCTTTTTTAAAACAATTGATCAGCGGTAAATGTCATGAAGTCATTTCTGATCTTAGGTCTCTGGTTGGGACACGGAAGGTAATTTCAATACAACAGAAATCCAAGGAAATAAAATAATAATAATAATAATAATAATAATAATAATAACTCAACTCTGCCTGTACTAAACAAGCTAATTAGGACAACCCCTGTACTCATCAGTGGTTACGTAGTTCAGGGTTAAAAGTTAAAACCGAAGGTTTTATTCTTACTGCACACGACCAATGCATGCTAACTAGAAATTACCAAGCACGCATAGTGAAAAACTTTTTTTAACCCGAAATGCAGATTCTATGATAAATATCCAGAAACAATTGACCCTCAGGTTGCACGGTGTTAGCACCCACTCAATATAAAATTCGGCATGATAGAGTGGGCCAAAATCTGCACTGGAAAATAAACAACTTTTATGAGAAGGAAACTTCAAGAAACTGTTATGAACACCACCCAGACCCGGTTATAGAGAGAGGACCTGTAAGCATTTCATGGGACTTTACAATACACACAGACAGAACAATCAAAACTAATCACCCTGACATCGTGATCAAAGACTAAGAAAACGAAATGTGCTTTCTTATTGATATGACATTTCCTGTAGATTGTAATGTATCTTTTGAAGATCTTCAAAACGCTATCAAAATACAAGGGTCTTTAAGTGGAACTCTCAAAAATGTTTCACATGTGGACATCAATAATTCCAGTTGTAGTTGGAGCACTCGGATTGACTGTAAAAGGTGCCGATAGACTCATTGAAGGGATTCCTAGTAACTCGTGCCTTAAAGAAATACAACAAATTACACTCACAAGGACAGCTCACACATTACGAAGAGCTTTCTTTGGCAACCCGGCAAAAATTGTTGTAGCTTGTCTGGGATGTGTTACTCCACCCGCAATATTTATCAGTTATTGCTCCTTCGGATTTTCATTTCTTCAGGTCCTTGCAAAATAATCTCAATGGCAAAAACCTTAACTCTTTAGATGACATAAAAAAAAAAACACCTAAAATGTGTGTGATTTTAGTTTTTTTGGTTTTGTTTTTTACTTACAAAAATGATCAGTGGAAAATATCATTTCTGAAATTAAGTCTCTGGTCGGGACTCGGAAGAATGTGTGTATACAACAGAAATGAAAGGAAATAATAATAATAATAATAATAATCTCGAAAATGTGGCATATGGTAACATCAACAATCCCTGTTGTAGTTGGAGCCCTAGGACTGGTTGGAAAAGATTGCAGTAGACTAATTGAAGGGAAGTCCATGTCTAAAGGAGATACAAAAAATTGTTCTGACACTTTACGAAGGGCTTTATCTATGTAATTTTTTTTTTTGTGTCAGTGGAAAGTGTCATGATGCCATTTCTAACCTTAGGTCCCTGGGCGGGACCCGGAAAGAAATGTGTAAACGCCAAAAATCAAATAAAATAAAAATAATAATAATAATAATAATAATAATAATAATGCCCTGATGTTATAACATGCACACTTATCATGGCTTCTGATCTTAACTGATTGGAAGTGTTAATGTGTATTTGTTTTGTCTTGGTGAATTAAGATGAACTACAGTAAATATCCCGTTCAGATTTAGCTTGTAACCAGCTGGGCGTGTACCCTAGGGGTTGATGAACTGTGCATCTTTGTTCATGGGCGATAGTAGAAGGGAAGCCTAATGACCAGGTGTCGAGTTTGCAGACTGGATTATTAGTCAAGTTGATTTGGGAGTTACATTTAGATTCTTGGGAACATCCTCATTCGGAAACCATCACAAAGGACTAGGTTACCCGACCTGAATGTATTTAGCTGTGCCCCACCTGCAAGGTTATGTGCTACTTTTATCAAAACCATTTACCATATCCTGAACATTTGGCTGTGATAAATATGTATGGGGCTTAAATTGGGTTCTATTGGGGTGGATATATTTGTACCGCACTGACACATTTTTGGCATGTTGTTCTCTCACTGTGTTACTGAATGAGGTTTTTTATGGGCGTAAAACGATGAAATAAGGAGTGTGCGTTATGGGGATATGTAGGATAGATAACGGTTTGCCCTATACTTGAGGAGGTTAAGATCATAGTGACCGGGGAAGCTTCCTTTCGCGATTCTGTTCCACAAAGTAACGGTTCTGGAGAAGATACTGAGTTGAACTTTCTTACTAATGAAATATGATGGGAACGAGGAGGAGTCAATCCTGTGTATCTGGCGTGGTGGGTCCTAGATGTGAAGGTCTGAACTGGTGGAACTAAGGAATATAGTTCTTCTGAACATCTGCCATGAAAATAAGAGACTAGCAACTTTTCGTCTTTGGGAAAGGAGTTGTTGGGTGGAAAATAATCCATCAACCACAAGGCTGCGTAGATGCTTTTGAACTCAATGTTTGAATGTGGGGATTGGGTAACACCAGACCAGGTATGACAGAATACTCTAATTTTGGTCTAATTTGACTCTTGGAAAGGTAGATCATAGACGATGAATCAGCTAATTTCTGGAGCAATACAAGTAACCTGTCATTCTTCCAGCATCTTCATCTATAGTAAGAATATACAAGTTCCACTTGAAGTTATGGATATGGCGACTTTTACAAGCAAAAACAAAGCACAGGTTTGGTAAATGGCACTCATCTAGATTTTTGGAGATATGTATTTAAATAACATACCCAAGAGAAATTATTAACCAATTAGATGCTTTCAAAGTCTTCACAGACTAACCATGAGAGTATTTATTCAATAAAACAACTCTAACACACGATTTTATCATCAGTTCCCATGGTAATAACTTTTTCAATTGTTCAACCCTTTCTTTGAATTATTGGATTGCTCGGAAAGTTCATGTCGATTTTTAAGGGAAATTAAAGCACAAAACAAAATTAAGCCATTAAATATTTATTCAACTAAATATGAACCATTTCGTTGCACATTTCTCCATTTTTCCTTCAACTTAAAGATTCCATCTTTACATAATTTTGGTGGTTTCTTCGCAAAGAACTTATTAAAGCGGTTTTTATGTCATCTAAAGAGTTAAGGTTTTTGCCATTGAGGTTATTTTGCAAGGACCTGAAGAAATGAAAATCCGAAGGAACAATAACTGGTAAATATTGCGGGTGGAGTAACACATCCCAGACAAGCTGCAACAATTTTTGTCGGGTTGCCAAAGAAACGTGAGGTCTGGCACTATCCTGATGGGAAACAACACCTTTTCTGTTCGACAATTCTGGGCGGTTTTATTGAGTTGTTGCCTTTAATTATTTCAGTTGCGAGTAATATTTTTCGGTACCAGTTTACTGGTTACTTGACAGAAGCTTCCTTTCCAATCTCACCAGATACACAACATAAGTTTCTTTGGATGAAGACCTGCATTTGCGGTGGCTAAAGTTGGCTCATGTCGCTTACCCCAGAATCTTTTTCGCTGAACATTGTTGTAAATGATCCACTTCTCACCACCCTTCACAATTTGCTGTGTATTTTCATTGCGTTTATACAGAAACTCACAGATGAAATGGAATCTAAAAGATTCTTTTCACTCGGATCATGTGGTGCATAAATATCGTAGCGATTTGAGTATCCAAGCTTCACTAAGTACTCATGCATGGTGGATTTTGATAAATTTAGTGTTTCTTCCAATTCCCGCCTTGTGCGATGCGGGTTATTCTCAATCAATGTCTTGATTTGGTCGTCGTCTGTAGTGGGGGGGTCTGTCTGAAACGTTCTTCATCAATAAAGCTAAAATCACCAACTCTAAATTTAACGAACCACTTCCGTACAGTTCTGTCTGCTAAATCGCCTTCACCGTACACAGCACATATCTTTTTGTGTTGCTTGCAAGACATTTTTGCCTTTAAGATAAAAAAAAAACGAATCAAATGTCTAAAATGCATCGTATAATCTTTCATTTTCATAGGGATGCAAAATTGAGACGAATTTAGTAATTTTAAACTTTCTTTCTCAAGGGATAGTTTAAAATGTGCTCTAATCGGAAATGTAAGCATATTATATCTGTCGATAAATTTGAACTGTTTTAACGTGTTGGAACATAGACGACTAAAAATCGGCATGAACTTTCCGGACACTCCAATAGTACAAGGAAGTTACCATTTTTCTAGCATCTTTAGTGAAACGGAGGTTGGAAATGAAATGGTAATCTTTATAACATCAACAAAATATAATACTCGCCAGCGGCGTGAAGTAGGTAAACCACTGCTAGTGGTGGACTACTTAGACAGCATATTACCCCCACTTACAATAGTGTCCAACGTATTTATGAGGATTGGCACATACCCATCAGTGTTCATAAGTACGTTATGTAACAACATCGACCTATCTTCAGTCTTTTCATATCTATCTGCATTTTTTTTATATCTATCTATCTATCTATCTATCTATCTATCTATCTATCTATCTATCTATCTATCTATCTGCAGTCTTTTCATATCTGTTGGAACCTAGGAAGGGTTACTGAATGAGGAATAGCCAAAACGAAGGTTGGAAATGAAATGGTAATCTTTATAATATCAACAAAATACAATACTCGCCAGCGGCATGGAGTAGGTAAACCGCTGCTAGTGGTGTACTGCTTAGACACCATATTACCTCCGCTTACAATAGTGTCCTCCGTATTTACGAGGATTGGGACATACCCATTAATGTTCATAAGTACGTTATATAACAATATCTACCTATCTTCAGTCTTTTCATATCTATCTATCCGCATTTTCTTTCTATCTATCTATCTATCTATCTATCTATCTATCTATCTGCAGTCTTTTCATATCTATTGTAACCTAGGAAGGGTTGCTGAATGAGGAATAACCAAAACGGAGGTTGGAGATGAAAAGGATAATCTTTATAAAATCAACAAAATACAATACTCGCCAGCGGCGGGAAGTAGGTAAACCACTAGTGGTGGACTGCTTAGACAGCATATTACAATAGAACAATGGAACATATACATTAGTATTCATAGGTACGGTATATGACAGTTAACAACCATTTCCCAGAGATGAAACATCGCACACTTCTTCCTACTCTATCACTATTTTCATTGCAAGCGTTCAGGCTATATTCTTTGGTTACATTAGTCTTTGCAGATAGGACCCACCATGACACATACACAGAGGGATGAATTTGTCTCATTCCCTTTGTATTCCAATCATTCATTTTGACTGGAGAAAACTCAGGGTTTTCTCAGTAACAGTGAAATGTTACTAGCTTGATTTTGGAGGCACTGAACTACAAGCCCGTCCCTTACGCACTAAGCTGTGAAAGATAAGTCAGAGGATAGATTACCTGTCAGTCTCTGGTCACCTAGATTTTTGGTGGTGCATCCATAAACTATGACTATTTACTAAAGATCGTTAATATAAAGTAAAAAGAGGCTATGACCGACGAGAGAGCTTTGGGAGGCAGACGTTAAAAAGGCCTTGACCACGTTAAAAAGGCCTTGTGCCCTGTGTTTTAGAGCAGCGGTCCCCAACCTTTTTGCGCTACGGACCGGTGTCATGCAAGACAATTTTTCCACGGACCTGGAGGCGTTGTGTGCATAACAAAACACAATAAACCAGACTGTGATAGTCAATAAAATGGAAAATTTGTTTTAAATTTTTCTGTGCGGACCGGTATCAAATGGTCCACGGACCTGTACCAAATGGTCCATGGCCAAGTATCAGTGACCAGGACCGGTGACCAGGATCGCTGCTTTCGAATACTGACTATTAACAACGTCATTAATGAACCTACCTGATAGGAGGGACTTGATAGTGGAGAAGGTTCTTCTATAGATGCCATAGCTGGAAAAGTTTGTGCAGCAAAGTCTTTGAGAAATCGAAGGCGCTCGCTCTCGGGATGGATTTATCAAGCACTTCGCTGATACTATGTGTAACGACATTTACGACATCAGCAGTGGACCTAGGGAAGTGAAATCCATATTGTTTGTCGCTCAAGAGCTTGTTTCTGTTGAGGTGATCGACAACTTTCATGTTGATGATAAACTCAAAATGTTTACTGATTACACTAAGAAGCTGATGGGTCGAAATTGCGAAGGGGATGAGCGCTCACTCATATTATTGCAAACATGTCATATAGCTGACATCTTCCATAGATTGGAAAACATTTCTCCTTCAGAAAGTGTTTAAACAATTTTGCCAAGATTGGGGATGACTTTCACCAGAAGAATTTTATCCAGACCAGTAGATTTCGTAAAGTCGAGGCTTTTGATAAATCTGGAATCATAACGTTTGTGCTCCGTAAGAGCCGGGAAGTTAGGTAGAGGATGACCTTTGTCATCTAAGGTGGGGTTAGTAACAAAGTTCATTGCAAAGGATGAGATAACCTCAGGGCCATTTATAATGGAAAGAAATGACGGCTTGCTTCTGTTGAGAACCTTGTTTGTCAGTTTAAAGAAGTCGTAAGAAGTAAATATTTTGTTTTCAACTTTGCGCATAATTGCACTTTGCATTTCTCAGGAATCCCTTGCACAGATTGCGGATAGTTTTAAGTGCGGCACGAGTTCTGCTACACCAATCCCTTTGATAGAGGTGTTAGTAGTGGTCAGAATGCGCTATGGTGAGCTTGTGGTCGCGTGAACAAAGGGTGGCTTGAGTCAGTCGTTCACTTTTGAATCGACTGCTCGGTTGAACTCTCTTCCTACGGACGGGAGGAACCCGAAGGAGGCTACGCCGAAGGGCGGAGTCTTCTTCGGGGAGGTAAACCGGCCCTGAACCCGTATATACGGGTTCAATGGGCATACGTTAAAAAGGCCTTGTGCCACATGACAACCTCGGGGGGGGGTGACTCAATATCGTGAACAAAGGATGGCTTTTTGGTCTTTGTTGATATTTTTTGTGTGTGATAAAAAACTCTACCCCAGAAAAAATCCATTTGGAAAGGAAGGAAGCCATTTCATAAGCTCTGTTTTTGAAGTTTGCTGAGAGTGTAGTTTCCGCTAATATTCCAGTTAGATTTTGTGAATCAGTATGTTGTCCGTCCTATGATATCGGAGGTTGCCTTTGGTTTTGGCATCAATTTTTATATAGATCGGTGAGTAGTCAGAAGTGCCTAAAGGAGATAAAACTTCAGCGCAACATTACTCAGGACAGGAGGTAATGATGTAATGTATGCAATGAAGAAGTCATAGCAATATCTGCTTTCTCCATTCCTATATATATATATATATATATATATATATATATATATATATATATATATATATATGTGTGTGTGTGTGTGTGTGTGTGTGTGTGTGTGTGTGTGTAGCTAAACCTAAAAAATAGACAAACCTACGAAGGTTTCACCTAAGCGGATCGTCAGGGAAGGCTCCCCTGACGTTCCGCTTAGGTGAAACCTCGGTAGGTTTGTCTGGCTCTCTAGGTTTAGCTAGGTCTGCTCTACTTACTGTATTGAGCACTTTATTTAGTTGTTTTACGTACTCACATCGGCTTTTTTTTCTTTGGGCTTCGAACTTGCATGCTGGACGATTATTTTCGGCTAACGTACATGTTCTTGGTTCTTTCTTTTTTTATACATTTTTTCCCTTTGGTATTGGTTTCATTATATGCAAATTAAGACACCGAAGCTTATCCGAACCAGTGTAGTTTCTTATACTTATAGGATTACTACTAATACCAATAATAATAATAATAATGATAATAATAATCTATATCTATATCTATATATAATCATATTACTCGTGAATAATTGACATGATTATTTACGCCTGATTTAGCACATGCATAGTATCAAAATATCTGTGCATTTTCCCTCAGATGAAATGCCGTTTCAGTCACTTCTTCCGCCATCAAATTTTTGTGTATTTCTTTAATCAGTTCACTCCAAGCAAGGCGGTAATGCCACAAAGACGCAAGGGGGTCTACTGGGATTTAAAGAGAATGAAAATACTTTAGAAAGAACCAGAAAACCAATCCTGAACAGAAAGCAAGTGATCAACCTTCTACTCCTTTTCCAAAAACTGTGGAGGTATGTGAACCGAGTGATAAGTGAATCTATCTACTTCTATTGAATAAAACATAAATAAATAATTAGTAAAAAGAAAATGTCAGAGTTCTGGCGGAGATGTTAGACGTATAGTGTTGAAGCAATCTTTAGAAGGAACCGGAAACCCAATCCTAAACAAGGGATAAACGTCCACTCCTGGGGCGAGGGTAGTTTGAACCGGACTGATTCACCCTCCTTTTCGTTAAAATGTCTGACAAGGTACTTCTCTTAACATTTTTTCTGTATTCATCTTATATGTGAGGTTTCTCTACACACACACACACACACACACACACACACACACACACACACACACACACACACACATATATATATGTAAATAGCGAGAAAGATAGAGAGAGAGATAGCGAGAGAAAACCCTTGCACATAGAGATCAACACTGCATGGTGACAGTCAGTTTTACGTTTCAATGCTACCTTCAGGCAAGATCTTGTTCTGTAGATCGCACTGAGGCGTGAAATTGACAGTCACGAAGCAGTGTTGATTCCTATCTCCACATTGTCTATAGCTATAAATGCTTCATGAGGTGAATTCCAGTAGTTTTGAGGCTTTTCTAGGAGCGGCAGTTATAACACTCCAAGATTACTGGAATTTTAGTACATCGTTATATGTAATAATCTGACCAGGCAACTTTTGTTGTTTCAGAATGAAGGAGACGGCCGTAGCAGCTCTTTAAACACACCCTACTGCTTGTCACAGCTGACGAGTTGGCAGAATACAGTCATGACGTAAAGACAATATGGACACTCGCTATACAATAAACGTTACAGAAACTTATGAAATGTTCCAGACTGCATATGGATTAACTTGTATGAGGTGAGCATCTGTTTTTAACGGAATAATATTTATGATAGTTCATAAATTTAAAAAATTGAATACCTAACAAGACTTTCCGTTTTGTTTATAAATAGTTGTTGCAAAATAAAATTCTTACATTTGCCTTGCTAATGTTGATCAGAGGACGATATGAGTCGGTAAAGAAAAAAATCCTTTTGTTTTTATTCATATTGCCTTTTTCCAGGTATATTTTATTTATACCGTAATTTATACACGCCCCCCACCCGCAGATAATGTCTAGATGGATAGTCCTCTGGGACTCTAATAAGAGAAACTACATAAATAATGCAATTCAACCATTACTTTTCTCCTAGTATATATATATATATATATATATATATATATATATATATATATATATATATATATATATATATATATATGCAAAAATATATATATATATATATATATATATATTATAATTATGTTTAAAAATATGATTCCTTCGCTACATAAGAGTTGAATTAAAGTATCAAGTCCTGTTTCATCCTCAAGCGAATTCATTTTAATAATTATATTATGGGTTTTGAGACCGATAGATGATTTCCCATTTGATTTCGTGTAACAGCATAATTGTCCATACCACAAAATGTTCAATATCCAAAATACAATAAATTAATTGAGTTTCTTTTTCCAGGTTTTCAGATATTTAGCCATCTTCACACCATTTGTCGTAAGAAACCCTTTGAGCTATTCAGCTATAAAGAGAACAAGTTAAAATCGCTTTGTGTCAGCCCCACTGGCTTCCCAACTGAGCAATGGCGAAAAGAGAAAGATTATTCAGGCCTTCAGTAATGGTACCAACATTCATATTCTGGCTTCCATCCCCAGATCCATTCTAGAACCACCCAGAGAACGGTGAATAAGTTTAAAAAGAGGGAACAATAGAGATGAAAACTGGATTAGGAGGTCACAACAGAAAAATAGATCATCATTTTAACTTAAAGCTAAAGAGATCAATTAGAAAAGATCCAACTCAGTCCATAAGACGTTTGGCACGTGAGAGAGGAGTTTCACCTATGACAGTCCAAAGAGTAGTGAAAAAAAGACTTGGACATGTAATCGTACATGAAACGTGTGAGGTACCCTGTTACTCCAGGACAGAAAGTTAGAGGGTTAGAGTGGGCGAATATCATATTGAATAAGTTGGAAAATGATCCTGGGATAATATATATATATATTTGAAATTTATTTGAAGTCTTCATGAGCTTCCAATCCTTACCTATGATTAATTAATGATGAACATTTCATTTTCGTTTATGATCGATTTCATCACGATTCTTTTGTTAAGCTTAGAGAGTAATTAGACATTGTTATTGATCAACATAGAGTCCAATCGTGTTATAAAACTCCCAGAGAATTCCAGTAATATACCTTTAATCATTTCTACGATCACTGTTTCAAAGCTTAATCTAACACTTGGACAATTTTGCTGTTAGACGATTTGGACAATTTTGCTTTGTCTTTTATGCTAACCCATTTCGCTCGTTGAGGAAATTTCTCTTAGAAGCATATATTCATACAAGCAGAATTCTGTGTCTGTAAATTTGAACTGTGACCAAAATACGTCAACATAAGAGATTTTTTTCTTGTCATTTGTTTTATTAACAAACACACACACAGATATTTATATTACTTTTTGATTTATTTTTATTGGATGCCCTAATTTGAGTAGACGCCCCGTTTATTACGTCTA